TTCAGTTATTGTTTTATAGAATAAAATTCACAAACGAGCACACAGTTAACCTGATGGTAAGTGGATGCTGTGACCCATCTACCCCCACCCTCGAATAAGAATCAAAATGCAGATGCGTCACCCCTGACGACTAAGACGAAACACCTCGTTTCCAGTAAAAAGGTTTTCGATCCTCACTGGTATTTCACTGAAAGCGTGGTCTTTCACCGGTTAAGCCGACCCATGCGTGCTCCAACCTCAGAGTATAGCTGCAGCATGGCTTTACCATGTTGTATTAACATTATAAATATGTTTATCAAATTCGGATTATGAAAGGAGAAAGTGTTTAAGCCGTGGATCGAACGTCGCGACATAACGTCTGACGCCGATATTTCATTTCAAATCAGCAATTATCGGTATAGATATCATTAACTTTCAATTTTGGTTTATTGTCAACTAGCTTTTACCAGCGATTCCGGTACTTCTGAAGTCGGTGCTAAAATAGTGTATAGAAAAGAATGTGAAATTATTTATATTCTCTTTGGTTCTTTGAAGCCGCCTTTAGTTTTTTTTAAGATTATTTTTTACACTTTTGAATGGACTAAGGTATATTATCTTAGTGCCTTTTAAATAGTTATTAATAACTTTATCCAATATGTTGTTGGACCACACCTGAAGCCAATATAATAAAAAATAATAATCAATTATCGGTTCAATATATATATATACATACAAAAAATACACTCGAAATGAGAACCTCCAAATTGCAGTCGGCTAAAACATTGGATTTATTTATTTCAACAGGATAGTTTTCATTTGATAGTAAATTACCATTTTGTAATTACGAAAAGTCGAACTATCCACGTACAAACAGGCATCAAATAAGTTTATAAAGATCGACCGCAGGGTTAAATAAGTCCTTGATATCGACGAGGGACCTTTAAGGGCGAGCCAATGGGAGCAAAGCAAATGTTTAAAGCACACCCGGTCCCGGGAAACGATGAAGTTAATGACAGTGTAGCTTAAAATCGTGAAAGCCTTACATACGAACAATTTATCGTTTGTGTTTAATGTGACTTTTGAAGAAAATTTAACTTTAAAAAATAAGTATAGATTTTCTTCATAATGCACACCTCAACGCACCAAACTGATTAAGCCGTAGTTAGATAAAACCGCTATATCGAAAGTTATGCTAAATTTATTTCCATATTTTTTATATAAATATTTAAACAAATTGTAAGACATGTTTCGAAGAACAATTTACATTCAAATATTTTTATTGCACAACATAAAACTGTGGGAGTTACTGTCACCGTTCTTTATTTAAAGAACTGGTGAAAATTTACTTTGATTTATTCTTAACTAATAATTATGTGATTTGTTTTTTTTTCGATTTCACAAACAATCGTCAAGGTTATTACATAAAATACCTATAGTTTATATAATTTTTGGCATCATATATGTCACAATTGGTTCAGCCAGATTAAGCCCGGAGAGACAGGACAGACAAAAATATAAGAAAGAAAATTGTTAGTCATGTAAAAACTTGCTAAAACCCCTTAAGCTCAATAAAGGGCAGTTATTTCGATATTACAGACAGATACTTCTATTTTATTTATATGTATAGAAAATAAATTTGATTTAGGCCGGTTATCCATAAATTCAATTATAACCCGACTGAATAATAAAAGAGAAACAATTGAACTATTTCATTGATGCACTTGTGATTTTTAATTTGTTTTGTATTTTATCCTATGAATAAATTGTATCTATGGATTGAAAAGTTGGGCCTCATTCTAATATAAATACTCCAATTGCAACCATATAGAATGATCAGTCGTTAGTACTCTTACTTATGTTTATTCATACAAAAGTGCTGGCAACAGTTTATAACACTTACAGAGCCCCTCAAAGCTATTTAATTATAATATATGTGATCCACCCCGGCTTTGCACGCGCGATTTCTGGATCTCGACAACAGTGTCACCCTACCGGGTCCATTTGTCAATCTAAACCATTCTCGAATCAACTTTTCATAATACACACAAACTTTCATCAAAATCGGTTCAGCCATTTAGGAGTTCATACACAGGGAATATATATATATATATATATATAGAGAGAGAAGAATTATATATATAAAGATTGGCAAATTAAAAAAAGGTTTGCTTACGACGCTTATTAAAATATGTATGAAAATGCAAATTCTGTCCCACAAAGTCGGAAGTCATTCAAATATCCGGAGCGATTTGATGTGCCAATACAATTGACACTGTTCAATTGACGCAACAGATCAAAAGATTTATTTAGAAATTGTGTTGAATGGAATGTTTCATATAATTTGGATAAATCTTATCTTTAAATTATTAAACTTAACGTACACTGTACATAGATATTAATTAGAGAACTTTGGGTTAATAGATTGGATAATATATAATATATAATTAGAGAATAAAAAAGTAAATAATGGTTAAGTACGACGATTTTTGAAACCGACTTCAAAAAAGGAGGAGGTACTCAATTCTCGACTGTATTCTTTTTTGTGTGTTACCTCAGAACTTATATCTGAATGAACCGATTTTGATGATTCTTTTTTTATTTGAAAGCTGATGCTTCTCATGTGGTCCCATATACATTTGATTAAGATCTGACCGGTAGTTTTTGAGTTATCCTTAATAATGCGTATTTAATTGAGTTCGACTACATTTATGATGTTCTCATTTTATTTATATTGAAGTCGGTTTTTAATTAATTATTATTATATACGGTAATTTTCTTTTAATTTTACCACTTGTTAAGATGGAATGTCTCACAGCCTGTGATTATACAGACTCTCTATACACTTCAGACCGGAGCACAGTGGGGGGGTGCTTTCAACAATCATTAACTGGCCATCAGACGCTGCATGCTTATCTGTAATTAACTGCATGTTATGTTTAAATATACAACAAAACAAATCTTTCATATATTATCACACATTACTAGCGTGAAATAGCAACATAATGCTACCCATATGAACACCTAGTAATACTTGAAAGCTGTAATAACAGAGTGATATTTCATTTAATTTTCATAGGCTTGTTTGTTACACACATATTTTAAACTATCAATAGTTATCATCGATTAGCCGATAGTTTTGGTACCGGTTGTGTCAAAACTCTTTCATTCGTTATGTTTTTGCATAAAAATAGATTTTTCGGGTTGTCTAAAATTTTAAATAAATTCCATCACAATATATCTCTTTATTATCTCTATCTCTACAAATCTTTTATTATCTATCATCCCATTGACGGCTCCACAGCGCAGTGGCTTCACATTGAGTTGCAGCGCTGAGGGCCCGGGAAATTTTGAATGGTGGAAGAATCCCGCACGGAAAAATATTTGTATGACCTGTCTGTATGACAGTCTGGATATTTGCCTTGGGCAATTTATTTATATGTATCAAACCGTCTAGACTACAGAGCGTGCCAGAGACACGACACAAGAAGTAGACATAAATATATATATATATATATATATATATATATATATATATATGTATGTATATATACATACATTCTTTCGAAAAACATTACCCACATTCTGGGGTAGTTGGGTAAAAAAAAAGTAATAATCATTTAATTAACCGTTTATCGTATCGGAGAAAGAACAAAGTCAACTGATACAAAAAATAGCATTTGCAACCTGGCGTACTATTGTCTGGCCGCAGCGCAATATTTAAAAATAGTAACGTCGTACAGTCGCCCTTCAGATAGCGGCCGTGTGCGGAATTTTTGCGTACTACTGTGCGCGTGCGCATGCGATAGTAAAATCGTAACTCATTTCTATATTTAAAAAAAACGCTGACATACTAATCATTAAGCTGATTTCAAAAGAGGATGAGTTTTTCTATTGGACTATATTTTTGTATGTATGTTTTGTTACATTACCGATTTTGCGAGATCGTCGCCAATTGTCAACCGAATTCAACGATTCTTATTTTAAATCATATCATGACAGCTCCGTGGCGTAGAGGCTTCGCAATGAGTTGCAGCGCTAAGATCAGGGGATTTGAATCCCGCACGGAACAAGTGGTCGTATGGCCTATAAATAATTGTCTTGGTCTGGATGTTTGTCCTTGTGAAATGATGTATGTAAACTGCCCCCACGACACAAGAGCAAATCCTAGTGTGTAGGTAACGCTTTAAAAGAAAGGAATACAAAGATTTAAGAGGCTACCTGAAGGTCGGTCCCATTTAAAGAGAAAATTCCACCCTAAGGTCGGGAAAATAGGATGTGAATTTTTTAACTAATTTAGGCGTCATCCTAGTTGTTAATTTGCGGTATAATAATTCACTTTTTTAACAAAAGTAAAAACCAAAAAAATTAAAAGAGAAAAATAACTTTCACAATAGCTTTTTGAAATCGGTGCTATAGGAGATGTTACTATTGTAGTTAGTTTTTTGTAGTCCGTTAATACTCTTTTATAAAGTTTCACCATAATCAATTTAAAGTTCATCTTTATTCTCGTCGTCGACAAAAATACGGCTTAAAAAAGGAAAGTTTCAGACAAAAGGCAGATAATACAGAACCCATGGGCGCTGAGAGCACGGTTTCCGCTCGGGCAAGCGCAAAATCAATCTTCAAACCACGAGATGCAAGCGGTCGGAATCGACGGGTGAGATGTAACGGCTACAGTCGACAGTCGACACTATTGATTGTTCGATAGATTTTAATTAGGACACATGTTAGCGGGTGTTCAATCTAACGAGGTAGTTAGTCTTAAATAAATACTTAGAGTATATCTTACCGTTTTATAATTTAGTTAAGAGTAACTCTATTTTGTTCACTATTTAAATTGAAAATATCGCGGTTAGAAAAATAGGTTACGAACACAGTAATGTCGAATTTTTTCTCGATGTCAGATTTCCTGTCATAAACTGAAAAACTATTCACTTTTATAAATTAGGAATTAAAAAAAATAATAACAATTACGAATATATAAAATAATTGTTGACTGAATACTACATTTTGTAACTCACCTATCGCGGCTACGGGTAAGCAGTTGAAGCAGTCTGTGAAAGTTTTCCATAGCTTGATGTTATACCTCCTTTTGCACTCGTCGTAGAATCTGGGAACAAGAAGGTACTATAAGTGACTGTTTCCATTTAAAACAGTTATGGTTAAATACACAGTCGCTACTTTAAGATGTCGTTAAGTCTCGTGGTGTCGTCGCGGCCACTTTGACTTAAAGTGATAGAGAGAGCACGAGACTTAACAGCATCTTAAGATTAAAGTAGCGTTTGAGTACTTAGAGCATTAGAATTTTGCTTTGTTTGAACCTTAATAAACTTAAGTATTAATAAAATTAAGTGAGAGTAATGTTGGTGTACCGTGCAGTGTCTAGCTAAGTTTTTTTTTTTAGGATAAAGGGTGACAAGCGAGCACACAGTCCACCTGATAGTAAGTAGTTGCTGTGGCCCATAGACATCTCTATCTTCGATTACGAATCAAAATGCAGATGCGTTGTCAGCCGTGAGGACTAAGATAGAATGACTCTTTTCCAATAAAAAAAGGTCTCCGGTACTCTACACTCACCATACGAAACGCATTAATATGGTATTTTGTGAAAGCGTGGTCCTAACCTGGTCGAGTCGACCCATTCGTGCTACAACCATATATAGCCGCAGCATGGCTCTACCACGTAAAACTACAAAGTTTTCTGCCTTCGAATAGGCGTTTTATACTGATAGAACACTGAAATATTTAGTGCAATAAAGTAACAACAGTAAAGTTGTCATTGTTTCTTCATCTACGCCTCGCACTAACTTCCAACTAAACAGATTTTCTTTTCAGCAAACTTTCGTTTGGAGTATCTCACTCCATTAGGTATTGATCCTTGCCTTTCTTGAAAGTTTTCTTACCGAGTGCAAATAAAAGGTATTGTAACTTGGGATATAAAGTTTTATCAGGATTATTTATAACTATAGGCAACTTTATAAAATTGTGAACAAAGTTGAATTTACACTTCTTTTTGTTTAGTGTGTGACTTTGTTCGAAGTGTAAGTTTGATGTTGTGTACGCGAAAATTTAAAAATTACAGACGCGTATCGTAGACGTATGCATACCTCGTTTCCAGTAAAGTCTTTTTACTGGAAACGAGGCATTCCCCCTTAGTCCTCAGGAGTGACAAAGAATCTGTATTTGGATTCTTAATCGGGGATAGAAGTAGATATTTATGGGCACAGCATCCACATACCATCAGTTAGACTGTGTGCTCGTTTGTCGTCGTTACTCTATAAAAATATTGAACTTTTATTAAGACAGAAGAATGGCTTAACATTTATTTGGTGGCATATAATATCATACTAAATACCAAATTCAGAAGTGGATATCAATAGTAGATGTCTAAAAATATCACTATTACAAATGAAACCTTAACAACACAAGCCGTTCGGTACAAACTCGACTAAGATTACGAACTAAATAAGTTTGTTTTCAAAGCTTTTTCTCTGCTGATGTACTCTAGAGAACTGAACGTTTACTCAATTACGCGCAGTAAATGGATCTGTTCTTGTATTTGGGACAAACATCGAAGAGATTTGACTTTTAGGTAGGTTTTGTAACACAAGTAAGAGATATGTATGTAGATTGTAGATATATAATTGTTCGTGCGTGTTAGTGATCCTGTAACACAGTTCATATTCACACAATATATTTGTTTTGCAGAGACGATAGTTCATAGCTATGCTAGGATCTTTTTTACGTGGTAGAGCCATGCTGCAGCTATATTAATAGTATAGTTGTAGCACGAATGGGTCGGCTCGACCGGGGAGGGACCGCGCTCTTGCGCAGAATGCCAGCGGAAAGTAGCAGCTTAATGGTGCTGTGTTTCGTATGGTGAGTGTAGAGAACCGGAGACCCTTTTTACTGGAAGAGAGGCATTCTATCTTAGTCCTCACGGCTGACAACGCATCTGCATTTTAATTCGCAAACGAAGATAGATGTAGTTGTCTATGGGCCACAGCAACCACTTACCATCAGGTGGACCGTGTGCTCGTGTCACCCTGATTGTATAAAAAAAGATATGAGAGGTGGCGCTGTAACCAATTAACAAATTCTACATTTATGGGCCAAAATGACTCATTTTGACAAGATATGTTGGTTGTGTGCCAAGAAAAAATCACTAACTCGGAACACGATAGGTGGCGCTGTAGTCGCGTTATAAATAAATTTGCTATTTACACTGTAAATTGTCCAGAGTAAATGCGAAACGGAACTCAATGCTCACTTTCCGGAGAGTCTCCCTAGCTAAATATGTGTATGTACCTACATATTTTCTTATGACGATTTTATAAAACTTTTGAAAAAATATACTTTTTCAGTAGTTTTGGAAAAGCCGATTTATGTAGTAATTTCACATTTTAAAGTTGAGGTCATATAACGTATGGCTCCAACTTTACAATGTGAAATTATTTTATTATTTTGTTCTTTGAGTGGACTAAGGAGTATCACGAGATCAAGGAAACTTGAAATGCCGTTTAAATAGCTATATTAAAAATTTGATCGCAAGTTTTCTAACATAAGGGGTGGATTTTTTTCTCCAAATTTATATGGGCTCCACCCTTGTGGTATATTTATTTACTAAAGAGAATTATTCAAATCGGTGCACAATAGACGAAGGTATTGCGTATATTTCCCTCACACCGAATTTCGGTCACGGCGACCAGTCTCAACAAATACTAGCCTTCTTTTTTTTTATAAAAGACGGGGCAAACGATCATGCGGCACACCTGATGCTAAGTGACTACCGCCGCCCATGAACAACCGCAACACCAGGGGAATTGCAGATGCGTTGCCGGCCTTTTAGAAAGGTGTAAGCTCTTTTCTATAAGGTCCTGAAGTCTGTATGTACATGACAGGCTTATAAGTGCATGAGTGTATGCACAAGCACTAGTGTATTGTCTATTCCCTCACTCTAATAGTTTGATAATGGTTTGACACGACCGGAGAAAGATCAGGAGCAAGACTAAGGGATTTACGTGCTCTTCGTCGTCGCCTATAACTCCTATACAAAACCTAGCATTCATTTTTATTAACGTCCTTCAAGTAAACAAAAAATAATGTTTCGTACCTCTGTCGAGACATTTGTTGATTTTACAAATTTTTTGCAGACTTCATGTAATGAGGACGTTATCAATTCAACTGTATGTTTTTGTATGTGGGTTCTATGTGTGGCCCTAACCTAAGACGAAAATATTTTTCATACTAAGGTTTGCGTTCAATAATTAAAAAAAAAAAGGCCCTAGCAGAACATAACTGCGCGCTTCGCGCTTAAGGCATGCAATATCGTAGAAAGTTGATTTTGGACATCTACCAAGAAAACAGAGTAAAGTTTAAAAATTCAAAAAAAAAATCACTGTATAAATTTATTATTCAGCAAAATCACAAATAAATGGGACAATGACTAATGGAAGTTTTAGTTTTCTTTTACAAGGACGACCTGCGACGGTTATGACAAATAGTTGCGTATTAACGCGATAAAATTCGTGTTGACGCCGTTTTCATAATCCATCATAGTGTACGCCTTGCCCGCGAGCAGTTGCGGAAAAATTGAATTATCAGGACTTGCATTTTTGATGCAGTTGTTATAATAAGAGTATTTTGGTATTTGGATTGTGTTGCCATAATAAAGTCAAGATTTAGCTTATAGTTTTAGCGCTTAATATAGTATTAGCGCTTACAGCTTATATTGAGCTTTCAAGTATCATGGACCGTATGTTTTAGCAGTAATGTTAAACCTTTGAGCTTGTATCAAATACAGAATATATTTGATACATTCCTTATTTTTTTACTGATAATATGATTTTATCATTATTATAAGCGTTTAAGAAACGGTTTACAATTTTTATTACAATAATTTAAAATTTTGTACAACCGACTTTAATATAAATTATTAAGAATAACTCAAAAAGGTCAGACACTGATCAAATTTATATGGGACCACATGAAAGACACCAGCTTTTAAATAAATAAAAAACATCGAAATCAGTTCACACAGAAAAATGTTATGAGACACACATAAAAAAAACATACAGTCGAATTGAGTACCTCTCCTTTTTGAAATCGGTAGAAAATACGGGAAGCCAAAAACATTCTGTTTTCATTTCCAAGAGATAGTTTGAATGGAATGCATTTTACTTATAATTTATGATGTACTTGTTCGAATTAGGATTTTGATTGTAGTCAGCACAGCGTATACAATTTGGAGCATGGTGGACCTCCAAGGAAATGGCAGGAGAACAACTCTACTACTCTGTGCAAGCCCTATTAATTCCACTCTCATGCTTCTTCTGCCACACCCAACTGTCACTACCATACATTAAGCTAGGGCCTAACAGACCATTGTGAATTGCCATACGGGCCCTTTTTGGCACATTCTGGCTTTTCACAATAGAATGAAAAGCTCCATTCACTCTGACTCATACATTCACATTTCGTTCTATATCCCTGTCATGTCTGCTATCCCAAATACACAAACTCAACTTGTTTAACCAACTCCCCTTCTACTCTTATTTTACATATAGTTTTAATTTCTTGTCTTTCAAAATCGATCAGTTTCGTCTTGCTTGTAATGCAACCATTGAAACAGAAACAGAAACTTTTTTATTCAATATAGATTATAAATAATACTTATTGAAAGTCACTCTTACTCTTACTCATTATTTGTAACTCGACCGCCGAAGACGCAAATATAGTTTTTTCGTCCGCGTATAAGAATCATTTGACGACTAACTCGCCCATTCTTAACCTACACCTTTCGACTTTAAAAGTTTCTAGAAGTTAATGTAAATTATTAACATGTTTATGGACGATAATATGTTCATAAAAATGTTAATATTATATATCATAACCATAATAACTGCTATTGGTCTACAACTGGATTCGTGTTTACTTATAGATAAGCAACTTGCCCAGGCTTAGCCTGGATAGCATCTTTTAAAGTAGCGTTGTTAAGATTTAAGATAATTAAACATCATTTATTTTATCAACTATTCCGTTTTTTTTACATGTCCAAGTTTTTCAGATAAAATATAGCCTAGACTAGATCACTTCTGGCATCGCTATCTG